TCTCTATTATGCATTATAGTATGCAACAGGGAGGAAAAAAGTCAAGATAATTTATTTTTATTGATTCACTAACTTACGTTGGGCCATATCTTCCAGTCATTCCATTTGCTAAAATATCATCCCCAAAGCTTTGGGAAATTTTTATTTCTTTGTAGTTATTTTTATTAAAACTATAATAAATAACAAATACTATCACAAGAGATGAACTCATTTGCTATAGTAATAACTTTTGATTCAAAAATCCCTAGAAGAAGCCGAAAGCATAGCAGGATGGGGGGGGGGGAGAGAAAGCAGGGACAGATAAATTGTTTCCTTCTCTGTCCTAATTTTCTTTATGTATAATCAGTCACAAAATAAGATAGAAAAAATAGGACGATAATATCAGAAATTTGGTATGGATTCTTTTTCTTAAAGAAATAAATTATGTAGTTTGTCAATATGAAAAGTCTGTTATTTCAAAATTGGATCTATTTTGGCAAGATACAAATTAAAAGCTGTGCATATTGATAAAACACATATTATCGAAGCGTATATAATTGGCAGTTGAAAAATAAGAATAATATAGACAGCCTAGGCTGGAACCCTACATAGGATGTTGAAAAAGCTAAAGCTTGGAATGAGCTGAGGCTGGCAAAGAACAGGAGGAGAAAAAGTCTTCCTCAGTATCTTCTGTATTCTGCTTACTTTAGATGATTTTAAATGTTTTGATGCAGATGATCACAAATTGGTCACAAGTCTTTTTGCAGTGCCATTGTAACTTTGAATGGTGACTAAATGAATTGTTGTAAGTCAACAATTTACATAATTTTACCTTGAACAATTAATGTCATAAATTGAATGGGGCCTGCCATTTGTCAACTTTGGATGTTGAGAGACAGTTTCAGTGTGTATCATTTATTATGTGAAAAATGGACCTCAAAAACTGGGGTTCCTAACCTGCATCCCTGGTTCTTAGAAATAAATGAATTCAAAATTTTAATAAGAACAATTTCACATTCTCTGAAGTCTGCTTCTTGAAAGACAGAATAGGAAATGAAAGAGGGGGGGGGTATAAGACAAATAATGTGTGTGTTAACTTGAAAAGATTTTCCAAAATGTTCTAGCAGAATACTACAATGCGGGTAAGGTGGCGATGGTGGCATTTTTAAAAGGCTAGTATACGATTCATATGTCTCAGCATGTGAGAACTAATATAGTGCATTGTCTAGATTGGGTTGGATAAAAGAAGTCCAAGTTCACATTTCTGCCATTGCACTCAATATCCACATGGAGGAAAGCCAGGTCCATTACAATCTATAGATTTTCTATTTATAATTTTCAAATTTCTCTGCCTTCCCATTTCTAGAAATTGTATCTCTGGATGAAATATATCTCTATTAAAAACAAAGCTCCCATTGGTCTTGTTAGGTTTTGATTACATACGCTACAGTTTGGATGACCAGCTACATTTGTCTCTTGTAACACTTCTCATGGGTACAAATTATTGGAGAGAAAATTAATGCTAGATTGCCAGTGATATCAACCTGATAGGCAGTAACAAGATGATCAGAACTCGGCCTATATCTCTGACCTGCCTAAGGATAAATGTCTGCCAGATGTTGCAATTAGGTAATGGAATCAGCATACAATGGTGTATAAATGGTCAGAGGTCTATCTAGGAGCTTTCATAAATTGAGCCAGGCATATAAATCAGAAAGCAACTGGCAGAAGCAGAAACAGATATCAAAGACAAGGCAAGATGGTAACAGAAACACAAATGCTTAACAAATGGAACAATTTCTTGTGAAAGAATTGGTACCTTAGTGTTTCTGCATTACTTCTCTGTTCCATTTGAGTATTTTGATTTATTGCCAAAAAGCCCTTTTTGCTTAGTTTCTTTCTAATTTGGATACTGCGGCTTCAGCTCTATGGATATTTGCTCTTTTTCATTTCATACTCTATCTCCTGAGTCAGTTGCTTTAAGTCAGAGCTGGAAATGTTGTCATTATCTTCAACTGTGTGATGGTGAAATTTCTTAAGAGTCATGTTGTGATATTTGAAAAGAAGAAATTAGGCATATTCAGCAAAGTACATGTGCTGGTTAACTTGTTGGAAAATGCCTTAATCTATAGAAAGATAGGCCAAAGTTGAATATACTTCAATTTTATATTTTAGTTTGTAATTAGCACCGAAAAGGAAAGCCGGAAAAGCCAACAGTCTACTGTATGAGGAATAGAAAAGGGGTCTAATTTTTTCATCCCTATTCCAAGCCCAATAAAAATGGTTTCTCCAAATTGTTGCATTTCAAGAGAAAAATCCCCATTAAAATCAACCGAGACTTCTCTTGACATGTAAATTACAACAATGAAAACTTGGATTTGGGCTTTTCCAAATTGCAATCTTAAACTGCTAGAGCAGGGGTCTTCAAAGTTGGCCCTTTTATGACTTGTGGATTTCAGCTCCCAGAATTCCTGAACCAGCGTGCCTGTTTGAAGAGCCCTGTGCTAGAGTGTCTATATAAATCAGCTAAACATGAAACTGACTTAAAACATTTTGGTTCTGCACTTCAGCCCCTTCTTTTCTTTTGATCTTTGTGATGGCCTAATGGTCTATCTAAATCACATTTATCAGAGCATCTGGTTGATGGATTCCCCTGTTCCTTTATTCATCCTGGACTGGTCAAACAAACCAAATAAGCACAGTTCTACCATTTTTCTTCAGTCAGAGAATAATCCTGCCACAGTGCATAGTAACTAATTGGAAACAAAGGATTTGTTTACAATGGAATTAAGCCCAGCAGGTAAACTGGACTTTAGCCACTAGTTTGGCAGCCCTTAGTTATAGTTATAGACAGGCTACCCATTAGTAAAAATGGCTGATGACTTTGTTATTCCTTGCATTGATGAAGCACAAAAGCCACACAATGCTTTCAGGAACTGCTCAAGCTGGGCATTTTTAATTTACAGCAATTTTCAGCAGTTCCTGAAAGCTTTGTATGGCTTTAATGTTTTGTCGCCTTGAGGAAGGACAGTTCCATGCATCTTTTTCAGTAATAGGCCAGTCTGTTTGTAAGTACAGGTTCTGACTTTAACACAAATTTGGGTTAAAGACAGAGTTAGGGAACAGAATTTGTTCTTAACCTGAGGGTGACTTTCATGTATTATTCAATAGTATGAGCATTCATTCATTCATCTTACATCCAGTTTAGCTTCAGGATTCTTAAATTAAGCAATTTGTGTCTGTTAAATGACCAATGATATAGTGCTATTAAATGGATTGTAATAACAGCTATTGATGAATGGTAAAGTGCTAATCAGCAAAAACAGATTTCAGCTAGCTGAGTGAGCCATCTACTACTCGCCTGATAGTTTTTGTAAGAATCTGTGATTGTCAATTACAAAGCCATTCATCCACCTATATATTATATGACATGGCTGTGACTTATTCTGTGCTGAATTTTCCAACAGCTGCCATACTTAAGACAAAATAGAGCATTTGTGCATTAAAATCTGTTAGAAATGTTGCTTGAGATATATCTTTAAACACACACATATGCAGAATACCTCTCATAGTTTCAGGAAGAAGTCACTCTAAAACATTAAAATGGATTTTAATGAAAATATTAATTTAATATTGTATTTAACTCAAGATGGTTAAGAAAACAAATATCTGATTTTTCATATTCAGCAGCCTGTAGTCCCCATTTTTTTCTTATATATCAGGAAAATCCAAAGGGAAGATATTACATATCATTGGGAAGCATTAACAACCTGGAAAGTTTCAGAATGCTGTAAAAATGAGTAATAGAAAACCATATACACAGTAGCAGTAACCATACACACAGAAGCAGAAATTCAGAATAAATTCTTTGGCACTTTGAAAATAAAGCAAAGAGAGGCAGAAGCCTTCCTTAGAGGGAAGGAATCTGAGAAATTGCAAGGCAGATTTGATAGGCTATTATACCAAAGCTGAGTACTCCAAGTATAGATGAAAGGGCTCATTAAGTTGGAAAAAAGAGTGCTTCATTGGCTATCCATTTAAAAGCAATGATTGCAAGGCTGACTTTTGTGAGCAGATTTTTTTTTTTAAAAAATGTAGCAAACATAGATATCTTGAAGAGGGAGCAATGGAAGCAAAAAAATAAAACATTTATAATGATATCTTAATGGATATTCAATGCTTGCATCCTCTTGGGTGAAGTTGCTGTGACAGGGTGGAAGTTGCATTGCAAAACCGTGATGAATGTTTGGTCATTTTGATATCAGTGTGGGTTGGTAATAAATGCATTGTGGTAACAAATACATTAATATTTATACCCCAAATGAGAAAAAATGGCAGGATAGTTTAGACCACAGGTCCCCAATCTTTCTGGCTTTGTGAACTGGCAGCAGTGGGGCAGGGAGAGGAGATGGTTCCACATGAGTGGTGGATAAGCATATGTGTGCAGCTCCCTTTGCATAACACTCACACAAATGAGTTTCATGCATGAGTGTCTGTCACTCACACAAGTGGAGCTGCACACACTCACCACTTGTGCAGCTCGGTTCTGAATAGGCCACATTCAGATTTAGACTTTCTGATTTAGACTTTCAAAGAAGAGGAACATGCAGTGGAGTTGCAGAAGAATTTTCATTGTTTCTTCTGTAAGATGACTGCAAGTCAGTGTGTAATTCCTTGAGAAGAACCCAGTTGAACAATGTAGTGCTTCCTAAACAAAGGTGCAAAGGCTTGCATTGTTAATGAAATATATCCAGATGTATTTATATAAAAGGTGGCATGTTTCCAGCAGTATCTTTAACTACATTTTGTATCTGCAATATAATAAACTATTACTACCTATGAAGATTCATTAAGTTACAATATTGAGAACCTTAGCTTTCTCCCTATTCATTTCTTGATCCTATAATACCCCAAATTGTATGGATAAATATTAAGCTCTCCTTTGGGTGATTTCAAATGTTTCAGAAAGTTAATGGAAGATGCTTTTCATCTGTTTCTCTTTCTCTTCTTCTTAGGTGATTCTCATTCTTACAAAGCTGCATGACTTCAATTTGGGAAGCGTTACTGAAAGCTCACTTTGGAGGTAAGCAGATTACATGGTATCTTTTTCTGAGTAATAGGCGATGTAAAAAGACAAAGGAAATGTTGTGAAGAACTGAACACATATTGCCTCTTTGCCCTTATGAGCAGGAGAGTTTTTGTTGTTTAAAAGCCCTGTTGTGACAGTTATCAATAATATATTTTGAACTTATAATCAAACACATTTTTGAAACAATTTTTTCTGTAACTAGAATCTAAATCATTACCATATGAAGGTAACACTAAAGTATGAAAATGATCTGATATTAAATGCTCAAAGAATGTTAATATTATCTTGAAGAATTAATTAGATGAGTCCAAAAAGCTTCTGCAGACCAGATATGACTATGAAAGCTGTATAGCAAATACTGTACTATAACATCCCTATCCCAATCCCTCCTCTACATTAAGTTGGCCGCTGATATTATTATGTATATGTGAGTTCCTTTTTAAAACTTGAAAGTGGATGTGACAGGATTAGAAATGCTAATTAGACATCAAGGTAGGTATTTTCTTGTGAAAGCATAAGAAGTTAAGAGCAGCAGGATTCTGATGTATTACACCAAAGATAGATTTCATTCACTGTTTTGCTGTCATGGTAACATCTATTTACCTTGGAATCTCCCAAGCAGCCTACATTCAGATAAGCAGGGATTAACACCAGGCAAGCAATCAAATAGAAAACTATACCCTAATTAAGACACTGTCAAAGAGAAAAACCCATTGCCACCAAAAGCAGCAGTCAAGCTACTATATATAAACAGGGAGCAAGTTTCCTGCTCACTTGCACTGATATTACCTAGTTGGGTAATGAAATGTCTGCAAGCAAACAACTAAGCTCAAATAGTACCAAGGATTCCACAGATTTTATAATTGCCCAAAATCTCTTGAAATAAAAGAAGCACCATGGATTGGATTCTAAAGTTTAGGATTTGTCAGTCAAAGGTTTAAGCTACAAAGTAGTTCAGTATAAATAAAGAAATGTGGAAACCATGCCTTTAGTTTTTATAGGTCAGCACAGGTCAGGTGACAGTATTAGTCTTCTAGAGTAGGTTTGCTTACGTGATAAGCCAATATGTAATCTAGATTCTGTCTATTGACTTTTTGACCTCTAGCCTTTCCCCTTCATCTGAATTTTTTTAAAAAAATTAGGATTAGCATTAGTATTGCAGACTAACTCTGCCCACAGCCTGGAGTTTGATCCTAAAGGGCTCAAGATTGACTCAGCCTTCCATCCTTCCAAGGTTGATAAAATGAGGATCCAGATTGTTGGGGCCAATATGCTGACATTGCAAACCACCCAGAGAGTGCTGTAAAGCACTATGGGCAGAATATAAGTCTAAGTGATACTGCATTGCTATTGGTGAGAAGTCATTTTAATTATATTTAATTTAAACAAAATGGAAATGAAAGAAATGAAATCTGATTTTGTAATACCCATTCAGATCTAAAGGCAGACATCAGCTAGCAGTATCTGAGCTACCCTCTCTTTTCAGAAATAAGTCAATTGTAGCCAGTGCTTTTTTTGTAAAAAAAAAAAAAAAAAAAGGTGCTGGAACTCACATGTCATACAACCCGCCTTGCCTACCCTACAAGGTTCCATCCAAAAAAGGTGCTGGAACTCTGTTCTGGGCTTTCTATGACAAAAAAAAAAGCCCTGACTGTAGCTATTTCAGTGATTATGAGTATTATGGCTATTTGCCAATCCAAAGTATAAAGAAAGCTATGAATGATAAAGACTGGTCATAGCTATCATAATGGTTTCAAGTCAAAAGGAAATCAAATTTAAGAGGATCTTTAAATAAAACTTTTTGCTAATTAAGTGCAATGACAGTACATTGCTCCTTAATTTCTATTGATCAGTGTCAGCTATGCTTTCTTTTAGCTGTGGTTTAATGAAGTATTTACGAATATATTCCCTTTGTAAATATATTCCAGTCTTCATCAATCTAGTACCTTCCTAATAGTATGGATTCTTCAAGTTTTGATACACTAGTCTCCCTGAAGGAAGGCTGTGATAAATAATTCAGTTTTATTATAAACTGAGTGTGACCAGCAACAAAAGACATGCTTACATTAGGAAAGTTTAAATATGATAAAAACCAGAGATCCCAAAACCAGATTGTCAGGAGCAATACTTTAGGAAAGGTGACTACAGTTTTGTTTTCAAGGAGTCAACATTTATAGCAAACCACAGTGGTAATGCAGATTCAGTTCTCCAAAACATACCAAATTAAGGCAGGTTAATCAGTCTTTTGGCTGCATTCAAGTTGTTAGAAACATGGCAATTAAAAAAGAATTCTGTTTCCATTATATGAAGGTTTATGGAGTTGAACTTCACCATGGATCTCTGGCCTTTATTAAAATGCCTGTGGAATCCCAGGAAAGTCTTTATGGTTTCACAAATCATAATCCCAGTTGATCCATTTGTTTTGTCCTCTAATTGATGTATCAATGAACTTTCCATGGGCCAGCAAATTTCTGAGATACTGATCTTTTCAGATATATTAATTATTATTATTTATTTTTTTGCCGAGAAAACTCTTAAGACTAATTGCTGAGATTTTCCAGAAAATATTAGTTTACAAATTTTAATGACAGTCATGATTTATTAATGTATTCCTTTTGCATCTGCTCCTTTTTATTCCTTGGTGGAATTCTTGCTGAATCTGAGTGAATTAATAAAAAAACCTGCATATTATAGTAGTGTTTTAGCTTGGCTGTTAATTAAAAGCTCCTTGACACTATTCAGTTGTTCTCATTTTCCTCTTTTTTCTTTTTCTTTCTCTCTCACTGATTTTGCTATGGGAGTCTTTAAAGTCTAGGCAAGCCTAAATTGCCAGAACAGGTTCTTTTTTGGGAACTCAAACTGATTATTGTGTTTTGTGAATCTTCCTGCTCACGTCCCTGCCTAAACAAAGCACTGAGAGTGTAGCTTTATTTGTACATGACCAATTTGCATGAATTGTTACTGTCATTGGATTTGTAATGTTGCATCTGCTTATCCAGTTATACATGGCTGCAGGCAGGTTTTGAAAGACTAGGAGTACAAATAATGGACTACTTCCTTTCTCTTGACTTCATAATAGAAAATGGAACACTTTTTCTTACTCTAAGTGAAGTTAATGTCCTATTCCATTCAGTAATGTAAATTTTTGAACTTGGGAATCTATTTAGATTTTTTTTCAAAAGTACTAAAATATTTTAGTCTCAGGTTGTTTGCCTTGTTATTTCAGCTGGAATTTGACTGCTCTTTCCTTGTGTGTGTGTGTGTTTGTGTGTTTGTGTATGTATGTGAGTGACTTTTGTATAATTGGGAACCATTTGGGAAAGTCTGGACAAACAAGCTTTTTGTCCTTATTACCTATTTTTTGAAGAATATAGATGAAATATGGCATTGGCAAGTTCTCTTGATTTGACGTATATTCTTCAAATAGCTGCTTCTACATGAGACATTTCTAGCACTTATATATTTTGTTTTTTTCATATTGAATCTCTTTGGGATGTCAATATATTTTAGTACTATCCATATTATGCATGTTTTCTTCAAACCTCGGGACCGTCAGAGATAGACAGAAATGTTCTAATGCTATGTATCATAATTTCATGAGGGCACCTAATATATATGACTCTTGATAGTGTTCCAGTAATACACTGAATCTGTCATTGCATTTCCAATGTAGAAGAAAGAGGTGATACATGGGTACTGGGTGACATAATTAGCAGTTTTATTACATTACTTTCTACAACAAGATCTATAGCACGGCCAATTAAATATAGTAAAAAAATAGTATTTGCTCTGTTTCACCTTCACCAATCTATCAGATGGGAGCTTTCCCTGAACACAGACTATATCCCAACAAAAACAGCTTTTAGTTTGGGAGGTCTTTCATTTCTTTCATCAGGATCCCACCAGAAAGTCCTGCAGATTGACTAAAAGAGATATCATTGCATTACTCAAATGAAAATGAATACTATTTGTTTTGAACTGCTCTTTTCTGTTGAAGTAGACTGTCAGGTAACAGGAAATCACTTCATAGGTATGCCCATATCTATACAGAATTCACATTGTAGTTTCCTTTGGGTTACCTCTAGACCTTAAGTGAGCTTTCCCTTTTCTATATGCATTTGGGGTGTAGGTTATCCAAATCATGAATAACCAGCAGTTTGGATCTCTCTTAGATCTTTCACAATTTGTACGATCATGACATTTCCTCAAAATTTCAAGATCTTTATGATGTTGCCTGAAGTTCATTTGTATGTGGTGGAAACAGTTTTAATATAGATCAGATATTTACAGAATTTTGACCTTGTTCAAGATCTGGAAATGTACTCAAAAAGAGAAATGTTTGAAACTTCATGGTTAAGTTAATCACCCTGTGATTAACCCAGTGGTAATTTTAAATTCTTTGTGGTGCTGGCCTTTCTTACATAATCACAATTAAATTAACAGTCAGAAAAAGACTGTTCTGTAATTGCACAGTTTGTTTATTTAAAAGAGAAAGCAACATGTTAAAAATAATGTCAAAATCTATGAAGCAAGACCAAGCTAAATGTACAAGTACTGCATTCTTCATTGCCAGACAGTCTGTGGTCTGTTACATCTTTTATTGCAGCACTCTGGTAGTCGATGTTCACCATGGTGCCTGGTTAAGAGGAAATTTTCAAAGATCTGTCATAAATGTAATGATTGATTCATATTCTCTATGTAGTGCTATCCTTCCCAGGGCCATTTTTCATTGGATGCTATAGCTCCTTTTCTCTTTCTTGGAGGTACTATCTTGGATTTGGACCAAAATGTTTGGAACTTTTTTTTAAGAGGAAGGCAAATGAAATACTTGTTAAATCTTATCATTCCTCCATTTGTCTTATTTTTTATTTTTGAATTTTTATACTTTTTGTTGCTTAGATCTTTTATCTAATACCTTGGACTTAGGTAAGAAAAAAAAAATTAAAGCCTCCTTCATGTTCAACTTCTTTCTATTTTAGCCTACAACTGTGAGA